TGATGGCAGTGTTAGTTCGATACTTAAGAATTACCAGCCCATCCTAGTAAAAGCTTTGCATAATTTTAAGAATGAACTGGTGACTGAACCCATTTTTCCCCAATGCGATGCTGTATTTTAGTGTATGGGCTTGTTTAGTGGACGCATTATTTCACGACTTACCATGGCTGAGAGATTTTAAGTCAAGCATCATTTAAATGATTTTAAGCCGTGTTTTCTTAAGCTTGAGCGCTTTTTCCAGGAATCATTTAATTTCTAATGCAGCATCTTGCTGTTATGACATTTCTAAGAATTGGTTTACGAGTATCCACAAACATTTTCAAATTTTAAGCCTGGTGCAACTATAGCTTCCTTTCAGTAACTTTGTCGGGCTTTGGTTAACGACTAAACGTTATGAGTTCTCCATGAAGAATTAGGGATAGATTTTAAGTAGGGCCTTTCCGAAGAAATTCCTGATGGCACTCATCAGCTTTTTCAGTATCAGCTCAGTACTATCCTAAGAATGATCTGGGAAAGAAAAAATTCCTGGCGCGATGCTGTATTTTATTTTCATGACTTTATTTTTGTGGACTCAGTATTACACAACGCACTACGACTGAAAGATTTTAATTTGAAATTTCCATTCCACAGCTCATGAGAGTGGAATGCAGAAGGTGGAAACCCTTGTTCCCACCTGTACTGGACTAGCCTCCGTACAGGGAGTAGTAACAATCCTCGTTTCTTTATGGGACGGAAATCATGCAAGACCAATGCTGAAAGGTAGGTCAGTTGGGTCCTGATGCGACTTTATCTTCAGATCAAACATGAGTTGTCAAACGAAATTGCTGAATGCTGCAATAGTTTGCTCTCACGGTGGTAGTCACACACAGTGCAAAAGAGTTACTCACTTAAACAGAATTAATTTATATTTCGAGGGTCTTGATGTCCATTTCAGACATGGAGACATGGACAATCCACAAAATGCATTCTCGTAGACCAGTTTCATTTCTGCAGATAATCATTATTCTCCCTGGTTTCAAAGAAGCAAGATGAGGCCATTTCCATTATCTGATGATTCCAGACCATGTTTCTTGCTTCAGTGCACTTTGAGATAAACTTTTCTTATATTCTCTGTAAGCAATAATAACTGAAGGAAGTTTAAAGTGCCTATGAAGTAAAAAATAATTGCCGCTGATTCGAAAGGCTTTTCAAAGTAAAGAAGAAATGCGTTTTCCTTTTTGGAATATCTTTTTTCGTTTTAGAGATATTCACGTTTTTGTATTAAAAGTGATGACGTCATAGGTGGTTCCACTTTAACAGTTCAACACTAAATCAAGAATATCTCTAGAAATATTAAAGCAGTGTTCTTTGAACTTGGCACCAGAAATGTACATAACAAAAGAAACAAAATGACACCCATCATGCCGTTGCCATGCCAACAGTTATGCCGCTGGTCCTGTTTTAATTAAAACTAACATTACCAGATTTTATCTTAAACAAGGATCATCCACTCCCAACAATCNTAGTGCACATTTGTGGTGCCAAGTTTGAAGAACACTGCTCCAATATTTCTAGAGATATTCTTGATTCAGTGTTTAACTGTTCAAGTGGAACCACCTATGACGTCGTCACTTTGCTCATTTGCATAATACAAAAACGTAAATATTTCTAGAACGAAAAAAGATTTTCCAAAAAGGGAAACGCCATTCTTCTTTACTTTGAAAAACCTTTCAAATAAGCAGCAATTATTTTTTACTTCATAGGCACTTTAAGATTACTGTGTTTAGAGACGTAAGACGCCAAATGTCTCATGCTACGTTAGATATATTCAATAATCCGTCACGTACAATGTGTAATGTATTTTTCCTTCGGCCATAATTCTTCATTAGTTTAATGAATAAAGACAGGAACCTTGATAGAGATGTTTAGGTCCAGCGGTACCTGAAAACAATGGCTTTTCTGTCGCAGAAAATTGAGGCCGGAAATGGAAAGAAACGCAAATGTTTTCTTTGACTTTTACAGAAAATAAACACTTGATCCTTAGTTTATAACGGTTTGTCGAGATCGGAATCTAAGCGACCACTGAAGCTAATACTGAGCGTGGGAAACTAGCCACTGACGTCACGTTGTGCCAAAGGGAAATCACGAAAGCTACCAGTCAGAGAAGGCGTTTCTCTGACACTTCCGGTTATTTCATGCTGACAAAGGGCTCTAGGTATGATTTAGGACGTACGAATTTCGACTCAAAACGGAATTACTTGAATATCTCTGAAACACAAGGATGGAAATTGCCACACAGAACTTACCTCTAAACTGAATGCATTCAACAGTAAAATGAAAGGAACGTTAACAAGAACGACAATTCGAATCTAACTTATGAATTTATTAAGATGTCGACAACCTTCACTGATCGAAAGATCTCTACAGAATCATAGATGGATTTCGGGCTCAAGAGCAATGCAAAGACCTCAGATTATTTATAGACGTCCAAAGTTCTGTTTACCGTCGCGTCGGCACCAGCCCGTAAAATTAATCACGCTGTGATCACGGGATAGCGGCGTCTTTAACGGTCATGCAAGAAGCATATTTGATGTAACCCCACTCCCGATAATAGATTTTAGTAGACAAAAGGTTCTTTAATCTCATGACTGCTCATAAAGAAAATGACATACAAGTTCCGCAGCATAGCTTGTCGTTTTAAAAGCATGAATTCAGATAACTCTCCTACAGGAGTTTGCTTGATGATTAATGGAATAAAAATTAATTTAACTTACTTTGATACCCAACATTTGTAAACAAAACATATTTCTGACAGATCTTGAGACGGACAGACAGACATATCGACTGGGACAGTGATGTGTGTCATTCCGGATTATTGATCTTACCGCAGAGTGCGCTGAATCAGAGCATGACACGTCATTATAATCTTAGATTGGATTCCTGCTTCAACTGGTTAATTTCCCGTTGCGTGCACTCTTCAGTAGATGACAAAGAATCAAAACGTGACAAACGCCACGTCCTTTGATTTCTCGGAGTTCATCGAAGTAGCTCAAAGTGAACGTAGAACAGACTGATCCTTCGCACAAATGGAGACAATGATTACTCAGCACTGGCGTTTTTGGTTGGCGTTTTTTTTCAAGCGACTGGCCCAGGAGAGAAAGTCTGACGAACTTTTCAAGTGAGTCGCGCCGTCCGTCCAAATGGAAAGTGAAATCAAGAAACTAAAAAACTCGGTAAACAGTACACAACATCCAGCTGAGCACCAGAAACTTTTAATTCTACGTAATCAGAGATGACTTGATGTAACATGGAACAGAATCCCAAACTTTTTAGTGGAATGGCTCAACTCTTGATCGTAGAAGAATTTACTAAACGAGTACTGAACAGTTATCGATTCGTGACGTCATTGATCGGATATACACATGCGCCGTGAACAGGCACAAAGATGTTTCGGTTTTACCAGCTCTTTGAGGTAAGAATTTTCGTTCTTTTTTTCTCGTGATTCGTTTTGTATTTAACTTTTAGTCGATCCATAGCATTGAGACACGATTTCAGTCTTTTTGGATGCATTTCAACATATTCGAGAGCCAGGCGTAGATACCAAAAGCACGGTATCAAAGCCTATGATGCACAAGTTATCTTATGTTTATCTTTTTTTTTTTTTTCAGATGGAAGGTCAGCTGCAACATCAGCTTGAGGTGAGCCATAAAAAAAGCACAATTCGTAACGAATGATTTACCGTGACATCTTACAATTCTGATCCTGTTTGGAAAAAGGCTAGAGCAAGTTATTTTGCTTACACGATTTAAGTAATGATCCAGATAAGAACTGTAGCATTTTCTATTATTCTGTGGCAATACGCTTTCCCCACATCAAAACGGTTGTGTTTTCATACGTAGAATGAATCAACCGATGGAAAGAAGGTTTATGAAATAAAATGTATTTTAACTCTATTTTGAAAGGTAGTTTCCTTTGTGTTAAAACATTCAACCAATCACAACAGTCGTAAACAAAGACAATAAAAGCTTCCAATTTTCCAATGTTCCCCACGTAGGATTACTGTGGTATTTAGACTCAGAACAGGTTTTGTTGAAAGGAAGATAGTTGATCAGTTACGCATTGATGTATAAACAGCTATCTCAAGTTTTGGTAGAGTTTATTGATTAAGCCAATCAGAAGTATGGTACAACAATAACAAAATTGCACAAAAGTTAGCACCTTTTTGCATTCCTTGCCGCGTGGTGCTATCCTTCTTATATGGACCGATACTTAATAACGAGTCAACAAGAACCATTTAATGCTCCTTGTGTCCAAATCAGACTTACTCGTAACCTCCCTTATTCGTAACCTGCCATATGATTAAAAATGGATTGCAAACCGATATTATAGTTTAGTTTTTTGGTTACATTAGTAGGGACTCACTCCAAAGGCAATTTCTAAATGAACCTGGGAAAATAAATAATCCGGAATATTAATGAAGTTTCTACACACACACACCACAAGAACAATTCAACTTTATTTTTTTGCAGACTGAAAGCTTGGAAATAAGACAACATATAACGAGGTAAGGATACAATTTTACAAAGTGCTTCCCTGCAACCGTTAAAAAGGTTTTACCTTGGTTTCTAACGAGGGATAAAATCTCCGGGCTGGCTCATAGAAGCCAAAAATGGTCTTGGGGGCAAATATATGTGAAGATTCTTCTCCAGAATATCTTTCTCAAATTCATATACTGCACTGCTTTTTGAAAACAATATTCATCTACTGAACTCCTAGTTCGCCAGAAAGCTAAACCATTACCAGAGGCCAAACCATTACCAGAGGAAAAATAGTTATTCTCCTAGAGTCCTCGAGTAGCAACTCCATCCTACTGCAGTATACTGAAGCAATATGATTATAATGATATTTCTGTAATTTCTTGCAGTTCAAACTCACATATAATTCAAAGTGAGCTGCAGGTAAGTAGTACATTATTGAACACGCTCTTTTATTACATCTGCTTGTGAATTCCATGGCATCCGTTTGCAGAACAATACTTGATAACTTTCCTTTTCTTTTCTTTCAGAGAGTTATGCATGTCATAAGACGACATTCGTTGGAACACTACCAACGAACAAGGTATACACTTTGAAAATATCAAATATATGCAAACAAACATTCTACACCAACAGATTATAGTTGTTCCCACCTTTTTAGCCCAGAAATAACCTTTTAACCTCTCATGATATTTACACGTTGAAAACATGCAAACAACACTCCTGCTCCAGATGAATACTTGACAGCCTCCATGTCCCTTTGGTACCAAGCTGTACTGAAACTTTGCGCTGAGTGCCAATATAACACTTTCGTGATGGGATATATCAAAGAATCTCCACCGTCAAACAGTTCTAAACTGTGATGAACACCTTTCTATATCACCTTCCTGATTCCTGTTGACCTTAAACATGGCTTTGATGGAATACTGCCCATAAATCATTGATCATTTGATAAAACGTACTCTATGCCATTCCGCAAAACGAGTTCCAAGGCAAAGCACTAAGCACACCAGTACTGTTGATAAGATCCAAGCCTTTGTTGAGAGCCCAATGAAGATTTACCCAAGTATTGATGAAAGCTTAAAGAAAAGCATTTACCTTTTTTCACAGACCATCAACGTGATAAATAGCTTATCTTTCCACAAACAAATGTCTTCTTTTAGATTTTTGCCCAATATCTCTCTACCCTTGCATCAGTTGACCACAAAGTTTCATCTTTGCCTTCATGATAATCATATACACTTTTAATTTCTCTCAGGGAGGAGAAAGGCATGCTTGAGTGTTTGCAGGTAATTTGCACATCGATTTCATATTGCCTTCACTTGTAAGCACCTGCGGGATGTTGTTTACTTTTCAAAGCTGTTTCCTTTCTTGAAATCGTTGCTGTCTGCTGCAAATTTCCAGAAAGCTCACAACTCACACGAGTTATCTGGAACTTTATCTTTCAGAGGGAGGCATATGCCATGCGGTTAAAAATCATGATGGGATAATGATCGGATAACGCATATCACAGGTGAGTACTGCATTGCAAAGTGCAGAATAATTCTCCTGCTTACTTCACGACTTTCACATTGTGTACCAAAACAGTCCATCCAAACATTCACCAAGACGCTCGTAGATACCAATCCACCAAGTGTATTTCGCCTATCTTTACCCAAGTGACAATCAGTGATACATCAAATGCCTGCTATCCCCAACACAGTTTGATTCATTCCTTAGCGATTTAAAAGAGGCGTGGTAATATATCTTCCAGAGGGGTGCCACATTACGCATTTTCATTTACTTCTTCCACCTTGATGCTGCTGAAATTCCTTCAGGGATTAAGGCAATCTATAAGCAGAATTTACACTTAACGTTAAAAAAGTGAAAATGTTCACATTCCTTAAACAAGAGGAGAAGAGAACAAGCCTGTCATATTGAAAGATTACCAGTAATTACCCATGCACCTTGCAAAGTTAGAGTTTGACTAACTCTGAAAGAGTGTACTCGAATTTGTCTTGTGATTCAGTTCCTCTCTATCCCAACTCGCCAAAAACTTGGTAGTCTTACTGATTTGAAAACAGTCCCCACTTTATAGAGTTAACTTATACAACTTGGTGCTTATTATCCAATTTCATTTATTTTTCAGGCGCGAATGGCAAGAGATCATATTATATTTAAAAGTTGTACAGTGTTAAGTATAAGATGAACTTAAAGAACAATAAAAAGTAAAAACCAACATCGATGTCTTTTCTATTTTTCTGAAGTGCATTGTAGCTTGAAACGCGAAAAAAAAAGAAAAAAAAAGAAAGAGTTTACCACTCCTCAGCTTAGAGGGGATTGGAAAAGAGTGATGTTCACTCTGACGGAGTTCAAAAATAATATTAGTTCGAAATTCGAAGGAGTTTTCTCTTAAAACCAGGCACTGTATACTACTATCGTAAGATTTGCCTTGACTAAGACCAAAATCGAAATGTATCCCGGACTTTTTCAAAAAACATAAAATAGACGATTTGCATGATGACGTCATTTGACTACAACTACCAGAATCCTTCACGTTTTCTGTTTCTTATGCTAATCAGGGCAGTTGTTATTTAAGGTGGCTCGTACCAGTTTTCAGGTTTTTGACGGCTCATAACTTTGCAAGAATAGAACATTATATAATTTATACTTGACCTAAAACAGCTGTTACTTTGTCGTCAGCAGTTACCATGGCAACATTCCAAAAGGATTTTCCAGACCTGAGTTTTCGCCCATATCACTAATAACTAAAAAATTAACCTGGTGACCCCGATTTTTTTTTAAATCAATAGCTTTTGGCATCTGAAAATGAAAATGCACAACAACTTTAAAACAATTTTACGGAGCCGATTTCTTGTAAACTTGGAAAAACGACAATTTGAACAAAGTGAAAATTTCCTTTCGTGGAATTTTTTTTTTCTGACGCTCCCTCTCAATAATATTATATTAAAACAATAAAAAGCAGGGGTCACCGGGCTTGTTTTCATGTAAAAGCCTTCGCGAGTTCGGTTATTCCCACGCGCGTAGACACACATTCAAAAATCCAGACTTTATAAGATCAGCAGTTGCTCATGAGCTGTTTTGACTACCGCTGACTGCTTCGTGTGCCCGCACGGGCGAGCGGGCTCCGAACAGGCGTTTTGTTTTGTATGCTGTCGTTTGCTGCTAAAACTTCATTTACAGTTGTAATTGTCGTTAAAGAAAACCTCTTGGGCTTACTCTGTAGGATTTTTACCCAAATTCTGGATAGATTTGCTATGTTTTACGAGTCCTTTATACGTTCTCGGTGGCTGCACGATCGATCGAGTTTCCTTTGAAATTTGGGAAACATTGGATTCCCGAAACAATTTTTCTTAAATACACAGAATTGACTAAAGTTGTTCTAGCACGTAAAGCCTCCGTTATATGCGAATTTCGTGTCAAACAGTACGAAAGTGACCTTGTGCGAAAAAAGACGCGCGCCGCCATATTTGTTTTGGTCTTTCGGGTTTTAATCTCGCGCCTCTATCGTGCGTGTTTCTCACGCGTGACGCACGATGGTGATCTACTCCCCGCGCGAGAAAACTGGTACCAGGCACCTTAAACCCCACTGGGGCTTCAAAATTTAAATAATAAAGAGAAAACGAAAGGAATTCTGGTAATTGTAGTCAAATGACGACAACGTGCAAATCTGCTATTGAAGTCAGAGTGCTCCTTATTTTTCGTTACAAAATCACACTCGTTTCATTTCCAAACATTTAAATACTACAATATTGGTACGGCATTGGTGAACTAATAATGGTAACCTTTATGGCATAATATGTTACCATAGCAAAAGTACAACATGTTAAAAACACCCTTAATGTTGTCTTTAAGTGCTTATAACTCAAAAAACGAGCACGGTGACCCCTTTTTATTTTCGAATTGTGATTAAGTATGATAAGTTGCTACTTTTTGAAAATTTTCAAAACATTCTGTCGGTGGGTTCAGGGCCAAATAAGTGTTCGAAAATTTAAAGTGGCTCTGCACTTCCCTAGACAGAATTTCTTAAAACTTTGCCAAAAATTGGATCTCATCATGCTTAATCACAATGTGATAAAAAAGTAGGGTTCACCGAGTGAGTTTAGGAGTTATTAGCAATTAAAGCTAAAATTAAGGGTGCTTTTAGCGGGTAATACTATTAAGGTAAGGTATTGTTTCACGAAAATGATAACACCGTGTTCACCAATGATTGGGTATTTTTTTGATATCAGGAATGGATTGTAGCATCAAATTATATAAACTGTTGCCAGCCACCACTTTCAGCACCCACCTACAAAGCTGGTCATTTTATTGATCCATTTTTTTACTAGGAGGGATGGGGGATCATTATTTCGTAGCAATTGTGACGAATTATCACGATATCGTTGTTTAAGTGTTTTTTCCCGAGGAATTTTGGCCAACGTTTTCAATTACATCCTAACTCTCGCTTTACCTGGACTGGTAATGACAATTCCGCGTAGTTTGGTAATGACAACCAACGACCGGATGATCCCAGATTAAACGCATTGATTAAAATTCAAATTCTCGTAATGGAATTATAGAAAATGCATGACGAGCGGTTATGAGAATTTCGATGCTGACCTTGGGATTAAATGGGGAAAGTAATGCCCACCAGCTCTTGACATCGATTTAGTCGAGGCCATCAAAGTTTGAAATAGATAATTAGCCGACGCATGAACTTCGCAATCGATACATAGACGGTCAAATCGTTTCAACTGGAGTTGAAATCGATAAACAGTCCGCGCAACGAGCATCTGACAATTGATTCATGTTTTAGCGTGCATTATCGAGTTATGATACACAAGGCCAAGTTTGGAGAGCATGAAAGAAGCGTACGAGCTACTCGAGGCGCAGCCGATAAATAGTTGGTGTCATCAACTGTTGACTTCGATAACTAGCACATGCCATTAACGGCTGAAATGTTCCGCTTAAACGACAGCTTTCTAAGCCCAAAAAGGACACAAAATGTGATGTCCTAATGTTTCGCTGGCAACCCCCCATTGCTAAAATCATCACTATGCTTCCCATTTTGTCATGTCATCGTCTTACACCGGTACAATCCGCACAGAAGGAAAGTGCAGGCTCAATATCTAGCTATTCTGATTGTAGACTTCAGATCACAGTCGTATTACAACTGTGGCCTGTGGACCATGATAACAGTGCAAAGGATCGAGACGCATTGAAACAATTTCCGTTTCAGAGTCGAAAGTTCAAGAATGTTATAAATAAAAATAGATGCCGCTGTCTGAAAGCGAACAGCTTGAGTCTTGTGTTTGTCAAGAGGACGTAGATCCGTTTGATGCATTATTAGCTTAGAGAATAGAAAAAAGAAATTACGTGATAAGTTCACTACATGGGTCACCGGCTAAGTTTCTCTATCAGGGTTTAGACACGTTTCACACATGCCAGTAGTACTTGACTGAAAAATCGTATGCTTTCTTAATTTTAATTATCGTAAAGGTATCAACTATGTGTCCGATATACCTAATCACATCTAAAAGTCGTTGGCATACCATAACAGCTTTGAAAGTTAATGCCTTACAGGTTGACCTCAACACGCCCGCAGCTCAGACATCTCCTCTAGAAAAATACAAAGTATGTTATTGGACGGTCGGTTTAGGCTCCTCCTACATTACCGCAAACGATGATGACTCATACTCAACGAGCCAGAGCATGCTAATAGTACACGACTTATCCTGACTGACAAAAATATTTATTGCTTCCCTATCTAAGTAGCTCTACAACGTTCCAACGTGTTTGTCCAAAGGAGCATGACGAGCTTCCATTTATTCCATGGTGTCAAGAAAAGAAAGAGAATCTCTCATTCAACTTAGAGGCCGAGCCAAACGATATGCTGCTCTTACCACTGATGACAATTATGAAACGATCTGGGTTTCTAAAGTGGCCACCAAAATTAACGTTTTCCTAATTCAAAAACATCTATGGCAGCCTGAGGTCGGATTGCATTCACTGAGACAAGAAAGTTGAGATAACGAGGCATAGTCCAACAAAAGGTAGGTTTAGGATATATTTTTCCTTTTTTATGTGAGCAACAGGCTTGAGATTCCCACAGACTAAGATATAACCGAAAGTGGTAGTCAGTACAGATGGGTTATTGACCAACCATGCGGTGTAGATGGTTGGATATTGGCCAAGTTCTTTTCTTGCGAGTATGTAGACCGAGACCTAGTCAAGGTCTGTAAACAAGCTATCAAGCTGTCTTTCACCGAACAAGCTTAGCCAGTGACGGGTAAAATGCACGAAGGGCATCACTCTCTTGCGGGACACAGCGGGCAATCCCATGCGGGCAGATAGCCCAGTCTTACCGGCCAGGTTATCCAATCACAGCAAAGGATTTTATCAGTTTCTCATTCTCGCTAGCGGAGCAAGCCTTAATAATAATGAGAATTATCAATATTACAGATCCAAACGTACGCGAACAGATGAAGAACTTTTGGACAAAATTTACAGTTTGTATCAAACAGACTTGGTTTCAAGAAATCAATCTCTATCCACCCCTCCCCCTTGCAAAACAGACATTAAGCCAGCGGTTACAGGAGTTACAGGAGGGATATTCCTTAGAACAACGAAGCTGAGGTGAGTTAAAACTTCATTTTTTATCGAATCTAAGACCTTTTAACGGCCATCCACCTGGTTCAACAGAACTTCGCGGTGTATTTTGAAACGAAGACAGGAAACGCATTGAAACGGGGTTCGTCTGACATAATTCTGATAGGATTATGTATTTTTGCTTCACGAATAGACAAAAATTTTAAGACCTTTTTTTCGGTTCATGTAAAACGTTTGAACAGTTATGTACTATTAACAAACTGACTTTCAAGCATTAAAGCGTTTTTTAAATGTTCTTCGTTTGCAGAACATTTCCAATTCACTGAAATGGAGGCACAACCTGTTCAAAGCTTAACACGAGACATTGTGGTAAGGATATGCAGTAAAAGCGATTTTCCTTTTAATATCCATTTCAAATTAAACAAAAGTAGACAACGTTCATTTAACAATATGCACTTCTACTTTTGTAGATACTCTTTCGTTTTGACATGTTGGTCTACGATAGCCAAGGATTACTGAGCCTCGTTCACTGTTCAATGACATTTTCTATATTCATCCAAAGAAATGGGTCAGTAATAATCAAAGTGTTGCAATCTGTCAAGCTGTACGATTCAATGTAAATACCTGGATTACATGCCTCTGTTAAGAACATATGAGCAAAGGTCAAACGTCTCTTTGTTATATAAATACCCTCTTCCTGTTCAGCTCACCACAACGTTTCAGTTGGCAACCTAATATCTCCCAATTGTCTTCCAATATTCGTGTGTCAATACATTCTGTATACGTTCTTGTAGGGGAATATTTTAGGGTGAGGGATATAACCCGTGGGAAAAGCGTTATATAGTGGGCTTAATTTTATTTTCCCTATCAGCTATAGAAATATTTTCTCATAGCAAAGCAGTGATCAGAACATGTATATACCCGTTTGTGTTCGAAATGTTAATTTTTCAACCAAATCTAATGCCTGTCAATTAACAATTATTTAATCACACAGTTTACACTTTCAAGGCTGGGCAGGAGCATATTTGGTAAGTAAATATCTATGACTGCATTATTTTTTTTCAAATTGTTAACAACAACTTTGTAGTCCAGAAATAACCTTAAAACCAAAAGTTTTTAAAAGCTGGACAGTAAAGTGCGTTTTATTACTAGTTCTTAAATGGTTGATGTATTTGGAGTAACTCACTTCTTCTAAAAACAATACAAAAACAGGGTGAAATTTGTAGCTTAGGTGTACAAGATAGTAGTTAGTAGTGAACACTTTCAAATTCTAAGGCATACATTGGTTTAATCTATGCAACATTCTATCTGAATGTTACTGTTCGACTGTTAGATAAAATATTACGCAAATATCATCGCTGGCAACACTATTAATTGCCGACCGTTTGTAGTAGGAACACTACACCTGAGATGCCTAAAAACCCCACTTTACAAAATAAATCATATATGATTCTTTATTTATTTATTTGTTTATTTATTTTATTTTTTAATGATTCTTTTTTATACTTTTAACAGCTTCAACTCTACCAATTACAGCTGGAAAGGAGGCCACTTCTTATTATGCGGGTCATACACGTACGATGCTTGGCAGGGTTTGTTTTCTTCGCTTATAGCAGGTAATTTAAAATTTTATACCTATTACACTAACCTTGTCAGCATGAAGGTAAAGGTTATGATGCGTACAACAACACAATAATTGGTAATACCATTCCAAAAGTGAGTACAGTACATTTGGTTTAGTATGTAGAAGGAAACAAAATATGCTAGACGTGAAGATCAATAATTGTATCTTAGCTATAGAAAGATTCATAAGAAAATTCCTTGCGGCCTGATTGCATTTGTCTCAAAGTCTGCAAAGAGCAAGATTTCCCTTATTACTTTTTTCCTGGGTATATGTAACACCCAATTGTAATTGCATGTCGGAGATGATAAGAAAGTTTTAAATCGAGGTAATCATATTTAGTGTTCTCGGCAGAGTTGTTTCTATTTACTGTTCCCTTCAAAGACTTTCTCGTATGCTATTTTGTTGTTAAGGTATCTATTTCTCATTTTTGACTGAACACAGAGACAGCCAAAGCCAGGAAAACCACAGGCAAGACAACCACGATCAAAACAACCGAGGCCAAGACAATCATGGCCAAAACAACCAAGGCCGAGACAACCATGATCAAAACAACCGAGGCCAAGACAACTATGGCCAAAACAACCAAGGCCAAGACAACAATGACCAAAACAGCCATGACCAAAATGACAACAATGACCAAAACAACCAAGGCCAAGACAACCATGATCAAAACAACCGAGGCCAAGACAACCATGGCCAAAACAACCAAGGCCAAGACAACAATGATCAGGAAGATCAGGATCAAGAATGGCTTGGAATGTCATGGGTAGGCCATTTACATGTCTGTCGTTCTCGAATTCAATTGTTTATCCATCTACTAGTGAGAGGAAACAAACATGACATGACTATTTCCTCTAACCTCCTAAATTGAAAAGCTGTAGTCATTCCCTGATGTTACAAAGAAAGAAAACAATAACACAGAGGAACCAAAATTTTTGTGATTTAACAAAATGGTCTGAATGTTCTTTCTTTGCTTTACGTGCATGTGCATCGATATATTACAAAGTGGAATAGTGTAGTTTGCATAGCAAGCGGCTTCAAAATGAGGTTTCTTGGCTGATTGGCTGTGTTCCCTTGCAAATTAATTCCAAAGACCATTTCAAAGACCTCAAATTTCAACGAGCACTTTTCAATAGGTGGCATATAATTAAATTAAAAATGGAAAACCAGGAAGATGACGACTGCAGCTGTTAAAAATATAAAGAGCGGTCGCTAAATAACCGTATGAAACTAAAACTTGCTCATCAAGACCTGACAAAGATGGCCGTCCAAATATTAGTTTTCTTTCTTTCTCAGATTTTTTTTCCAGTTACCATCCTTCTATTAGTTAAAGGTCAACAAGTCTGGTATTAAAGAAGATTGTCCACTTAAATCCATCTGCCTATTCGTATTCTTAGAAATGAGCCATTTTATTATTTCTTTTCACAGATATCCGATGAACTTTGAAGAGTGCAATCTAGAAGAACAATTTAGTAGTCACTATTATTCTAAAAGATTAATTTATCAGAGATGAGAGTATATTAAGCTGGAACGATACCTCGAGTGTTAATGTAAGACAACCGATACAAGAGGAAATTTATTTAAACAGACTTTAAGGAAGCACCAAGTTGTAAATCATTTCGTTTTCTTTGTTATTTGACAGCAACTGTAACTGGTGTTGCTGTCTTTATAATTATTACTAAGACTTAAGGCCATTATTTAAAAAGGATAACCCCTCGGTTAAAGAAGCACTGTAAACAGTTACGATTCCACTGATTTGAGGAGGCTATGTCGATCTCATTTGATTGTGCTGATGCTTGCCTATTTTCTTTTATCACAAGCTGTAAACTTCAACAATGAAACATTAATTTCCTGATGAAAATCCAGCTAAATCAAACTGACTAACGTTACAGAATAAACGTTCACCAATGTGATACGCTTCAATCTTGTCCACAGAGTTTCTAGTGATCCTTTGATGTTATTCTACAGTTTCAGATCGTTAGTAGAAGTTTAGGTCTCTTAAGGAACAGTTTCTATGAAATTAAATTACCCAAGATAGCGTGACTTAGCCTCATGAAAACACCAGCGAGTTCCAAGTTTCAATTCTGCTTTATTACTTTGATGATCCGATGATCATGTAGCAAGGCTTTAAAATAAAGGAGGAAAAAAGTAAACACATCTAGTGAGTTTGCTGGATTTAAAACGTTTAGATCACCTCAGACGTTAACTGAAAATAACGTCACGCTGCACCTTGGATATCGTGACAAAACTGCAGAGTGTCTGCCCGGCACCCTGTCCGCTGAATAGATTTGTCATCATATCCAAGTTGGCGGATCTACGATCATGCTATTCGACGATCGAATCGGTCACAAAGACTGTTCAAAAACATCAAGCCCTCCGATAAAGACAACACGAAGGACTGTGCGGCATCTGGTATTTTTTTTGGCTGTTCCCTCATGCGGAGCAAAAACAAAAGGCTTTGTTTGGTGAAATTGGTTTTCATCAACAATTATTGACACTGTTTCAAGGCACATTGTTAGGTTAAAATGGAGTTTCGTATCTTTCTCATTCTCTCTCTGGACAAAATCAATATAACTTTAAACTGCTTTCGACAAGCACTCCTACGATACTTATTGACTTTTATTTTATTGGTGTTTTCACAAGTTCCAAATTGTTTAGCAAAAGTGGAGGGAATTTATTTTTAAACCTGCCATTCGGTAAGTTTACGCAGATTCATTTCAATAATAAACATGATATCAAGGTCACCATGTATCATTAATTGGATTCCTTCTCACAACATTTATGAAATTCAAGTCAATTTTGTTCCGCTGATTTTCGTTTCCCATTCTTCTCACAGCATTGGCTATACTTCATACAAATGTTAAACAGTTGTAAGACTGCACCAGACAGTAGCTTACAAGACAAACAAATAATATCCGCTTATATAGCAACAATTCTTTACGCAGGCTTGAGATCAGAAGGTCATAGTTTTGAGCTAGTTAATTGGTCGAAAAAAATGCTAACCAATCAATGGGTGTTCCAAGTTTGTTTGACAGATTTAATTTCCGAGAAATCTTGAATAGCTCAACACTGCGGACTCCATCAAAATTCAACGCCGCGCAAGGACATTCTAAAGTCAGAAAGTAGCAGCGATACTGAAGCTGGTGGTCAAATCGATTGTATGCAGCTGGCTTGAGTATAGTGTACTTAAAATAACAGTGATAATGTGTCACCGTGCTCAGAGATTCCTACCAAAAAGCCAGGAGTTGAAGCGGAACAATGTGACAGGATTACATTCTTTGCGACAGTCATCGACACCATAAATGATTCTCACAACACGGCTGTCCTACATGAATAGCGATGGGACCTGTTTCATTTATCCTTGCTCGGTTAACAAATCCAGAAGGGTGAACCTGGTGGACGTGCTAGTACTCGCGAGAAGTATGCACAAACAAAACAAATTGATTTGCTCATCTGGAAATAAAGCCTCTTCACAGGGCACTACGCTTGTTATTCCAATAGGGAGATATGAGGGCGGAGACACTGGGTACAGACCGTGAACTCAACTCTTTCGCTTTCACTCTCAATGACATGTTTTGATGATACGCATGTAAAAGGCACGTTGACTCGAGGTCGTCTCCATTGAAGGATAGTTCGCCGAAGTTTAACTAGGTAGGAGGAAGCAACAATCTATTTAATTCCTGAAAGTAGAGTCACCAATGTCATATTTGTCTACCACATTTAACTTTTCGACTCTTTCTCTTCGTTTTTCGCGTGATACCTTTGTTCGCTGAAAGAGAAAACGCCACGTGCCTTTCTTCTTGTCTTCAGGATAGCTGGCGATCAAGAAACGTGGTTAAATCCATTCGTGCTGTGGAAAACAAAGTAGTATATACTTGGAAGCATCTTTATACGCCGATGTAAGTACATATAAAGTGAAGTATATATAGGTTGTGATATTTCTAAGCCAGAAGTGTGCCGTAAATGTGCACGATTCGCTCGATAAATATTGAGTCGTCACAAAGTTTACAACTCTCCTTTTCGCAAACACCCAGTCCGCCAGTTACTTGCGTCCATAATTTGAACATATTAGTACAACAACACTGACTATTCCTTGATCATGATTTCTTGGTTTTATATCAAACCATTCACTTATACATGATATTTAATCCTACAGCCCATCATGTTCATTATGATTGTTATTGTCCTGGTAGATGGAAGGCTCAGAACAACCTGTCTTATAGTTGTCATACTCAGGTAATTTCAAGGGCTTAAAATAGAGTTTCCGTGCACCGCGGATTTAAATGACACAAATCCATTTGTTTTCTAGTAAAAGCTAATTAATTCCAGAGGACTTTTCTTTCTATAATTCGTTACGGTTTTCTTTACATATGTCTATTATGGAGTTCAGCTTTTTAAAGATACGAGAACATACCAAGGCAACAATAAACCAAATCGAGCTGATTATGAGTTTTGTAATCAGCTGTTATTAAAAATCACTGTTTCAAAATACCGAGGTCTAAGTTCGACCTGACCACTTCCTGTGAACAAATTCGATTAACCCGTCATACTTCATGATTACGTTATCAACAATAACAAACTTGCAACTGCTTGTTTAAATTAGCGTTTCTCTAGCGTACTTTTCCTGCCTACAGTTACAACCACATAGAAGTCTCGTTTAATCCAATAGTCTACAACGTCCAACATTTCAAATACAGTCTTCAGTTCTACTTAAGACAATCACGTGCATGATCTACCACTGACAATAACATCCTTCGTATATCCGCTTGGGGTGGTTTGAAAATTTTCTGGTAGTATCGTCGGAGGTAACTAATCATTTTTTTACTCCTACTACAGAATATACCAACACCAAGGTTGGACGGACTATGTATGTATATTTGTTTGTCTATAATTTGCAGTCCATTGTTTACTATCCCTGTATACAAGGTTAAAGGCACGTTTTGGGAACATAGTGATATCATTTGGTTTTAGACGTCAGGAACTAAATTTTATGAACGTCACGAACTAAGTTGTTTAAACCAGCTGGATTTTCGTACGAATCTAAGCAGTATAATTCAAAGTTTCTATCAAAGGAAGAATGTCTAAGAAATTTATCTCAGAAAGTTAGAGACTTCGTGAACTAAGTTTTATGAAGTAATTTCATCTTCCTAAACACCAGGCAGTTTCATTGAAATCGCAGCCTCGAGAGAAGAATGTCTTAGAAAGTTACAACTTGCTTACCTAAACGTTTTAATGAAATTTTTTGATTTAACAATATTAGCAATGCGTTTTATATTATTTTAATTAGATTTAATTGGGTGACATGGAGAAAAGTAGATGCCATGATTTTATAGCCAGAGGTAAAACTTAGAAGGAGATAAAGTAACACAAATATTAGACAAAGTTGTGATTGCACAATTATTGACTATATAATTGTCAACTATTGTTGTTTTGATGGTCTTAGTGACCCTTGAAAGAGCTGTAATAGCAAATGCAGTAACGTTTGATACTAAAAGATACACCTTTTCTTTTTTCCAGGTACCTGATGAACTGTGAGGTGGAAACAGAAACATCTTACTTATACCCCAAACAGTGTTGGTGCAAAAAAATGATTAATTATCGTTATAACTATTAGCTGGGAAAATGTTATTATTTATTTATTATTTAATTGTACATGTAACTGGCCATATTCTTGCAAATATAAAGCTTGTTTTGCGTTGAGAGGTGGTGTACCGGTGGAACGGGAACCCTCAGTGTTCCTTGGTAATTTTATTCTTAGAACATTACTTGCAATATAACCGCAGATCGACAAAAATGATTTGTTTAGTAGTAATAATATTTTTATTGCTTGGGAAGTGTTTGATCTCTCTCGAGATCAGGATGTATAGGAATTTAATCTTTTATTGACTTCCATTAGCAAACCATTAATGTTACATTGCATGATTGATAAGATAGTACACTGGTAGGCCAGCAATTTCAAAACACTTGTAAATAATCAGTAAGAATGATAAGGTATTTATACTTATAACGATAAAGTCTTGCCAAATTAAATAAGTTAAAAATTCAACTCCAGTCAGAAAACCTAGGAATAATGTTGATCAAAGCAGAAATGTGATTTTTTTCAAGTGGTAACATCACTAACATCAAAATGGCCCCAGTTAGATTTTGGGGAAAGTTAACAAAAACTCATCATGATCTTCAAACCTCAAAAGGACCCCAGGTCTGAATGAGATTAAACACTAGCTACATTAAATTACTGACGTTTCGTTCGCGTTTTTCATAGCAAACATGGTATAGAACAAAAGTAATTCTGCCAAAAATACTCTTGTTCAACTCATTTGGCATATTGCATTATACCCGTATCGGGTCTTTAGCGTATATGAATATATACTTTGGACTTGTAATTAATAAGCGTTATGAATAATACATTTGATGAATTTGCGTGACAGACGAGTCTACTGTTCGGTGTAAGAACTGTAGACCTCTCTATTTTGGTTTGATTTGATCAACGAACCCAGCGCAAGGCTTAACTAGGAATTTTAACCAGCATGTTACTTATTCACAGAGTATTTTAAATAAAGTTTTTCTCCGTTTTATCGCTAACTAAGCATATTGGAATTACAACGAGAACGTAGCCTAGGAACCACACCAAGAAGGACAGTACACAGAGGAAAACCTTAAACTTATAGAGGAAGTTCATTTTCAGTGGGAGCAACAACAGTATGGAATACTTTTTCACCTGAGATCCGAAACAGCAATATTTATTCTGGGTCGCTTACGTTATTGAAAATAAACTTTTAACTGTTTTCAATGTCATCTTTAATTCTTTTTATTTATCGTAATGTTTAATGTAAATTTGTATAGCCCTTTTATACCTTTAATTGCAATTTTATGTAAGCACCCTTGCACTTTCAGCAAACTGGCGCTCTATCAATATTTCATTTTATTATATATTTTATAGTTCAAAGGGTTGTTCTTTTAATACTTGGGTTTCTCATACGAAAGTTCATTCTCGCACGTAATTAATGTTTTCGGAAGTCACACAACACTTCATATTACCGACATATTTCATTCTGATAGAACCTTCATGTAGTATCATCCTCTTAATAACCGAACGCGAGGGCCGTACTGGGGAATATTGGCCCGAGGTCGTGGCAGTACGGACCGAGCGCAGTGAGGCCCGTACAAAAACGACCGAGGGCCAATTTTTCCCAGTACGGCTAGAGCAAGCCAGGTTAGTTGGTAGTTTATTATATGGCACTCGAACCTCGAAATTGCCGGCTTTCGAAAGCAAAAAATACACGGCGTATGACGCTTTCCATGGAAATGGTCCGTATGGCACAATCCCGACCAAGAAAGAACCAATCAGAACGCACGCAATTTATCTCAAGACTACCTTGCCATATAATGATGGATTATATTTCACGCAAAGGGAAATTATTTGTAGGTACTATGCGTTACACGTCGCATAAATGATTAAAACTCAAAGACAAAACCTGTTCCCTGCTATTCCAAATACGCTACATCGAAGGAACAAAATAATACATATATGATATTTCTATTCTTTCAAATAACCGAAGATAAGCCTATACCGAAGCGGACGCCTTATTCCAGTTTCGCAATACTGTACTATCAGCTTAAGTACAAAAGAATTGAGGTTTAACCGGCATTACGTTGTGCTTTTCATTTTTGACGAAAAATGCCGGTAAATGCAATAAAACGCGAGGAACCTAGTAACATGCATGTAAATATTTGCCTATTAGCATTCGAGCCGCACGTGTGCCGTTGTGATGAGCTGTCACAATTGTCACTTTGATACAGTCATGATGTAACTGAACCTTCACAGCTTTTAATTAACTCGTTGCATTCGGTTGAGAAGTATGTTCCAAATTTCACACAAAGTTAAGATGTTTGTCCTTTTTTTGTTCCTTGACGATATAACCAAAAACTTCAAGAACCAAGTATGGACTGGAAGAGACTCGATAACGAGTTTCTAAAATATGATCTAAATCGGGTCTAAATGCAGTTGAATAACTAGTCTACCAAAGTTTACTGAGAATGTTGTGGCTTCCTTTGAGACATTTCAAATTGTATTTAAATGTACGTGTTGCCAGGTGTACCAAAGTGATAGCCCACTTTAATATATTAGCTGGTTACGCAAATATAGACATGAGCATGAAATGACAATACACTTTCTATGGAACAATTCAGAGACACTGTTCAAACAAGTCTTACCCAGATAAAGCTTGCCAAAATACTTCCGCCGTCTGTGTAAGCAGACTTCCAACATGTCGGCTGGTGCAAGTCAGTTGGGTATTCTATCAATGTGCTACATATGACACTCAAGGCATTCCAGACGACTCACTTCTTTACAAAAAAAAAACTCTTTAATGATGTTCTGGTCAAGACCTGAAGCAATAAAAAATTGGCAATTATTGATAACCACCTAACAACGTATGTCAATGATGTATGAAGATTTGAGCACCATATAGAGGGGGAACAAAATAGAAAGGAGCGGAAAATTACCATACGCATACGTTTACTTCTTTTACCTCTACCTTAATGAGCATTATTAGCAGTCTGGTGGACTGGTTATTCATTTGTTTCCCTATATAAATCCTTGTTGTACATCACCTAAAACGTTGATAAAATGTTACGGGATGAAGGTAACATTTTAATGTTTATAATTTGGAAACTCAGGCCCCCGTCCACAGTACGCCGGTGAAATTTGAAAATGCAACAATCACCGGCCATTTTGGATTTGTGTTTGAGGAAAACTCGGGAAGGGAAATCACATGATTATCGCCGCGACGTCATCGTTTTCGAAAAGCACCGTTTTCAAAATGTTTTTTTTTTTTTGGGTCCACGCTAAAACCCATAGACGGCGCTTTCAAGTTCCTCCGGTTTCGTGACGGATAGAAATACTCTGAAAAGTGTCAAATTTGTTCTGATAAACTAAACGTTTCGGGCTTAGCCCTTCTTCAGTAGGTGGATTTAGCCACGCCATACAAAAAACTGTACGCGTACGCACGCACGGAAAGGGCGCGCATGAAGTACAAAGTAAACAAATAGGAAAACCATTGTTTTAACGCGCGTGTAGGTGTAATACGCGCTAGACCCACAGTCACAAGAAATCAAAGTTAATGTTCAGTCCGTTCGGTCGAAGCGTACCCAGCTTGAAGATCAATTTCATTTCATGCTGCTTGCTGCTGATGTTACTGCCAGAGCACTGTTTCAAGCCACAGACCATGATGTCATCCACAGAGTGGGAGGCGGAGTTGAAATGTTCAGCTACGGGAAACCCGCGCGATCGGTTCCGAATGCTACGGAGGTGCTCGCTGAAACGCTTCCGTAGTCGCCTTCCAGTCTGTCAGATGTATAGGCAGTTTTTTGTATGGCGTGGCTAAATCCACCTACTGAAGAAGGGCTAAGCCCCAAACGTTTAGTTTATCAGAACAAATTTGACACTTTCTAGAGCATTTGAGCCTTAAATACACCTTTATGGCAGTGTCACGCATCGTATGAGTTTTTTGAGTTTATTGTTCATTCCTACTGAATTTGTATCCCATTGGATGTTTTGGTGTGTAGTGTCGCTTTATATTTTACGAGTTGTGCCGTATTTTGACTAGCCCGTAGGACGAGAGAGAGAGAGAGAGAGAGAGAGAGAGAGAGAGAGAGAGAGAGAGAGAGAGAGAGAGAGAGAGAGAGAGAGAGAG